ACACAGACTAGCTACATTCATACAACCTCAGAGATTACACTGCAATCAGCCACATGAAGTGCACTAGGCTGTCAGGATAAAGAAAATAACCAAAAGTTATCAGTAGTGGAAAACAGGTCAAATTTGAAAAGATCTTTGGAGATTTTTAATTAATGAATTTATTACTGGAAAATTTCCTTAACTGCTTTGAATAAGACAAGAAAGAAGAGTGCATTCACTGAGAACTCGAAGTTCTTATATAACTGGGGCTTTTGGAGCGTAATAGAATCAGAAGTCTAAAAGACAGTTCTATTCAGCTAGAGTCAGGAAGTGCAAAAACAAATCACTGGATTACAGCAGTCTAAGGAAATATAAGCGATTCTCTTCTCTTTTCAAAAAACATGTCTACTACTTAGCCCATGGTACTTGAATGTACAAGTAAGAGATGAGATGTGCCTCAGTAGGCTCAAAATAGTAAAGAAAGGGGAAGCTGCATTTATAAACTTCTCCTCCAAAGAAGAGCAGAAAAAAAAAGGTAGAATGAAGATAGAGTTGGGTTTTTTTCTTCCAAATAAGTTTCTAGTATTGCTGAACCTATGAATGCTTCAGTGTTGTTTTGGGTTTGTCTCATTTTTTTAAATCCTCATGCCCCTATCCGCCCTCCAGCTTCCGCTTTGAGTTCACTACCATCTCTGCTGTTCAAGCAATTTCCAATGCTTTAGCGGCTGCCATCTTAGGCTGATACTTACACAACATAACTGAACACCGGAGCTTTATTTTAGCAAGTAAAACGGACATCTACACTTAACTTTTAAAAATATTAAGAGATAAAAGCAACGTAGATATGTTTAAGAAATAGTCTAACTTGAAAGAACAGAAATCATTCACAAGTGCAAACTCATGAACTATCAAGAAATAGTTCCTCAGAGTCCAAATTACATTTGGAAAAGGGGACAATATTATTTTGGAGAGTGTGTGTGTTTGGGGGGGGGGAGGGGCCCCAGAAACAGGGACCAAAAGTCTCATCCCCTTTTTAAACCATGAATAAGAACTGCAAAGGCAATATTGTATAACAGTAATTATATTATTTTAATTTAGTACAGTACCCACCTATTTTACAGTGTTACTACAGAAATAAATCTGTGCATCATAAAACTCCAAGAAAACGATTCCTGCATATTTTGATTTCTTTTAGAGACAAATTAAAAGAATGTTAATACCACTAAATCCAAATCATTCACTTTTCATTCCTCTAAGTCACTGACACGAATTAAAAATAACTCCCATATACTGGAATGAATGATTTGGTATAAAGATTAATTCAAAATTAGTACTGTAAATCTGTGTAAGCCATTCACAATTGGCTACTAACCACTGTACAGTTTAAATAGTTAACATACTACTAGCACTTAAGAGGATTATACTTGCAGTTAAAAAGATACTTGTGCCGTTGATAGATAAAATACTGCTTGAAATCACTATCGGTAAGTTTCTCTTTCAGCAAAAAATATATGTATGTAAAATTACCATTATCAAAACATTACAGGAAAAAAGCTTGCTCACTAAGCTAACTTGGAACTTGGAATATTGAGCTATACCAGCAGATTTCAACTAACTCCAGAAAACAAGGGAAAACTCTGAGCAACATGAAGTTCAGCGACAATTCTCTACCAGAGATCACACAATTACCATAATAAATTGTTCGGGCATTCACTAGTCTGCCCATTAGATTAGCATCAGTACAATCAAATGTTTTGAATATGCAGCATCACCATGAACAGGATCTTCAAAAACAGCTTCAGGAAAATAAATTCCTCATACAGCAAACATTTTTGTCCACTGTAACTAAACCAAGAAAACCAGTAACTGATTCAAGTGTGTTTACTAGGCGCTTTTTTTGTTGGGTTTTTTTTTTTTTTTGGTAAATGTAAGTGACATTTCTCAAATCATACTAAAATATCCAAGTTTTAACAAGCTAAGAAAAAGATACAGGAAGAAACTTAAACTTGGAAGCCTGGGAATCTGATTCTGGTTGCCATTGCACTTACCATTTATGTCCTCCTTTTACAGTGAACAGTAAAAAAAAAGGATAGGATATAAGTGAAGGAAGCTTAGTTTTCAAAGCTTTTAAGAAACAAAAACAAGTATTAGAAAAAATTATTTTTTTCTACATATGTGGTTGGCAGAAGAGTATAAAACATTACAGGGACTTTCCAAAATTAAGACCATACCAAGTCCTCACATGGTAAAAAAATATCCATTAGTATCATAAAGCAGAGTTTTACTAGAGAGGCAACGTTTAAACTTTTAAAACGGAGAAGTAACTTCTTTCCCTGTATGTACAATGGTAATATAAGACTAGGAAAAACTGGCAGATGGAAGCTTTGCAGTAAAAAAGTATTAGTAATAATGAATCAAACACTTTAATTGTGTAAAAAAATGTTCCACTGAACTGAAAATTAAGATGCATCCAGAAATGGTTTACATTTCTAGTCTGCTCCAAAATGCAGAGATGTTGTCAAACTTCCAATTGCACATCACAACTTAAGTAGTTAACTAAAGATGTCATAATGAATGCTTATTAAATTATATGCCATGCTTAAGAGTTTCAGAGCTGCTTTTATTAGAAATTGTTGCTAAAAGAAGAAATATATCACTTCCATTTTTAATTCTTCCTCTTTTAAAGTGCAGAAAACATTAAAAGTAAAACAGAAGTCAACACATGACGAGAATACTAAAAATCCTGGAGAAGACTAGAGAGAACAGATAATTTAAATTGTTGGATACGCCATTTCAAGTTCACTTGACATTAAAAAATTCAATAGCAGCTACACTATATATTCCTATATATACCTTATACCAGTTTTGGTAGGGCCGTCACTACACAACTGCATCTATATATTCTTGCAGTGTATTGTGAGTTACAGATGAACATAAAATTCCAATAACGCAACTTGGTAGGAGAGCTACTTAAACGCTTCCAAACCATTCTGAAATCTTCCACCTTTACTTTTCCCCCCAAAATTTCATCATATAGAAGTCACAACAATTTTGCATAATGATTGAAGTGCTTTCCACTTGAACCATACCTCTTCCCCTCTTACATTACATTTTCGCCATGTCCAGCACACCAGCGTGAACACCGTCTACTCACCCAGGCTTAGGAATTTAACTGCGTAGATAAGCCCCAGGATGGCCAAACTGTGGCAAGCAGTTCAAGCAACCTAAGTAACCTTACTCCAGACAGCTGCAAGAAGCAAACCAGTAAAAGCTGCTATAGCCAACATTATCTAGTTTTCCAAGCACCCAAGCTGCAGGGTATAGGCCATCGATATCCTGTAACAGAGCAATGGAATTTGAGAGCTCCTGCCATTCCATCCCTCTGGGCTGGCTCCCCAGCTTCCCTTCCCCACAGCTCACTGAAGTGAGTAGCATGGCTCTCATGGCTCCTAGCCAAAGGATAATTTTCACACGCGGTTTATATGGTCAGGAAGTTTGGTCAACCCAAAAGATTGTATGAGGATATTAAGATGAACTGAAGTTTCAAATTTGGTACTAGAGAAGTCACCATCAGTAAACGGTATTTTTAAATTACATCAGTTGTTAAGATGCTATTTCAGAAAATATTACTTACAGTTTAATAATATGCTGGTATGTACTAACAGGCATTATGAGCTTTTATTTCTTGATCTTTATCACCTCAAAGAAAACGCACATTCAGAAGCTTTGTTTTTCACAGTGTAAGCACATACAGAAGTAAATGACTGACTTTTCTACTGCAAGCAATCAGCAAAAGTCATCAGCAAAATCAACTGATAGCAGGGACTAATATCACAAAGGAAACTTTCTGCCCCTACATATCTTTACTACAAACTCTAAGGGATATGGGGTGGTAGAAAAAAATTACTGCCAAGAACAAGAAATTTTTTTATATTCTAACTCGTGCTAGCATGTCTTAGAACATACTTGCTAAGTTTTTCTCAACCCTACAGAATGTGTAATGGTACAAAATGTACAATAAGTATTGGTCCCACAAAATAATCAGAAAGTAGCTGAAAAACCGAGAGCTTATTTTTAATTCTTTCATGCATAAAGTTGTACTTCTAAAGGGGAGCAAAACTCCTTACAACAGCTAAAGTTAGTACAACAGTATTAAAAAGCCTTGTGTGTATAGCTTATTCATCCCTTCCTCCCTAAAAAGAGATTTAACAGTAAAAGGTATCTTTCTACTGAAGCATTTGCAATACACAGGATGCGCCCATTTGGTTATTATGAAAAAAAAAAAAAAAAATCATACCCTTTACACCAAAATAGATCAACATGAAAATTTAGAAGCTGACTCCTCTGATACCACCATTTTGCTAGATCTTCAGGATGAGTCTTCAGGGGCAGAAGATACCTAAAGTACTAATATAAATAATGTAGAAATTAAATAATAGAGGCCAAATTTTTCTTCTTTGTAAATTATCTTTAGTAATGATCGAGAGATTTTCCTCACTTAGTTTTGCAGCAGGATCATTGCTGACACTGCCCAGTTTGCTTTTGAAGTTTATTATCCTTAATAAATTAAGTACAAACCAAACTAACTCAAGCAAGCTTTTTTTCAGTTTAAATTGGTTTAAAATATAAACCTTCAGTGAAACCTGGCGACATCCTCATGTGGACATAAATCTTTTCACATGACCTCCTACGTAGGAAATCCTATGATTTTCTTGGACAGAAGTAGCAATTTAGTTTCCTGAATAAAAAAGACAAATAATTATCTGAACACCTTTACATAGCTGAAATCATGCATCACCAGCTTGTAGGGAGAAAAAAAAAAGTGATGCCACGATGTAAGAAAATAAACTACACCGCTAACTTTTGTGCTACTCCACTAAGAAAATGATGGAATCCTGAAGGAAAACACTAAAAAAGAGAAAGGCAGCTCAATAAGCTTCTCCTAGAATATACATTAAAACATTACCAAAGAAAATATTTTTTTTATAATTTAGACTTTAATCAGATAGAATTCTACTTACATTGTCCATGAAATTCGGCTTAAATCCTCCCTCCTGCTGTCGCCTTAATTCCTCCTGTTCCCTCTGGCGCAACATCTCTTCTTCACGACGTCGATGTTCTTCTTCATGTCTAGAAAACATTTCAGAAAATACAATCATTTAGATTCCTGACCTCTTCAGGCTTTTATTGGGTCTTGAGGCATTGCATCAAGCATATTAACAAAACTACTGTTTGAAGTTTTATACAGCGTACGGCATGCTATTCAGAATATTAATAATTCTCTTCCTGTCATTTCTGGATACACACTGGTAAGTAGGTTGAAATACTCGGGGGTGGGCAGCTTTGGATTAAAACATTTCAATACTGCCAAAAGCCACAATGTTCCAACCCCAGATCACTGCCCATGAATGTTAGAAACATGTTCATATCTACTACAATGAGACTTCCTATACAAGTTTAAAATACCTCATCATAATAAACATGAACATAACATTTTAATGTTAAGACGTTTGAAAGCTATGTATAAAGTTCAAATATTCACAGCAGGCCTAACAGAGTTGAAATAAACGAAAACCAACTACCAAGAATCTTTGAAACCGTTCTTTCATATTAGTTTAAGTGATTTCTGGTCAAGAAATTTGACGGAAACATCATACCTTCATTATGCTTTTAAAAACCACTTTTAAATAGCAGAAATGTTTATAATTGATATCAAAAGTAAGCTCTGCAAACTAGAATATCTGAATTCAAGCAAGCCTGCAGCAGTTACACGTCTAAAACACTGTCACACCTTTGCATAGTACAAGACAAAAATACCTCAATTGTATCTGTTTGCGTTTCTGAAGTTCTTGATTCCGAAGTTCTTCCAAACGCCTCAATTCTTCTTGGCGCCGCATGAGATCTGAAAGCATTGAAAATGTAATAAAGACAAAAGCTGTCAATTAGCAATGTGGCAACACAACAAAAATCGGTATTACCGTTACAGTTCTGAGATTCAAATTTGAAACTGAAGAGATTTCTTAATGCATTTAACTGACGTTATTTAGCTTTATGGAAAGGAACTAGGTAGGATAGGGATATGACAAAACACACTGGATCGAAGAAGGTTCACACATGCACGGAAAGGCACAAGACTGCAACTTCCAAAGCAGGGTATGGGGCAGAAAATTGAAGCAGACAAAAATAAAACGAGAGAAAAGACTGAATCACTTTTGTTATGTCTTACTTTTCAATCTAGGGCAAAGCATCAATTTTATCATAGTGCTGTGCATAGGTAAAGTCACACTAGCAAGAAAACTAGTACAAGATACATGACTTATTTTCTCCATTAGCCAGTGCAGGCTACTGCATGGCATACTTCAGAAAACGGTTAAATAAACTTCAGAGAAAAATAAACTTCATGCAATCTGAGCTTCTGCAGAGATTTATTACGTGGCTGTGATTATAAAGTGACTTCCAACTAACAAAATCTTTAATGCTGCCATAGAGAATGACCCTATCCCCTTTAAAAGCACTTAAAGATGCTCTTGAAAAGCAGGGCCCAATTAACAGTCATTACTTTTAGTTGCATTTGTTTCCGACCAGTTACATTATTGATTTCTTCCTGGAAACGTATATTTCTTTGAAGAATATTAATTCTGACTTTCGTTATAAAAAAAAAAAACAACCAACTGTTTGCCTTCTCTGTCTTCACAAGACTTTGGCAACATGGCGTTATTTATGGACAGCAGGAGGAAAGTTCCACCATGCCACTCTACCTTATGCCTTTTATGCTTTAGACTACTACACACACTTCTCTATGCATTTAGCCTCTCTAATGCATTTTTATTGGCTGCGCACATTACTTTCTTCAAACTCGCATCATCACATACTATTACAATTTAAGTTTGTTAGAATTTACCGGTCATTGTAGTTTTCGGATAGTAAAGTAAAAAAATATCATGCATTTATTTTACTTTCTAACAAATAAGATTACAAGATTTTTATTAGGTAATAGTTTCCTTATTGACAATACAAGTCCTTTCTTAAGCAAATTCTGCAGGCTTGTTAATTTTGCGGAAGAGTTGGGGAGCATTCACCAACAGAATAACGATTACATTGAATCTTCACTCAGATCACAAAATCTGAGGCTGTTTCTTTTCAACAGCGCTTTATTTAGCGGAGTTGGCCACAGCTGTTATCCTTTCACTTGGGCAGCACCACAAACACATAGGACAAGAGCTTTCCTTAACAGTTCTGCCTTTATCCCCTTTCAGCATTATGTAGCATGTCCTTTTTCTCGTGTCATACATGAAAACAGGATTTCCTCTCTGTCACTTATTGCTATGAATTTATCACTTCCTCCCCTTTATTCTAAGATGTATCGTCCTATTTTTTTCAGTTCCTTCCGAACATTTTCATGGTATAATAATTATTGCCTGTCCTAGAACTGTCACTACTTTAAAGCTCGACATGCCCATTTACAGTTCAGTACCATGTGACCATGTTAACACAAAGCCTTGCTAGCCAAATAAAAATACAGATGAAGAGGTTCAGGCTGTGCACAGAGCCACTCATATTAAGACACGTGCAGTGCTGGTAATTTTGGACTGACATGTGTTGCACACATGTCCCTTCTTTGAATAGAAGGGAACAGCACTAAAATAGACACCTGTGAAAAGGAAAACAGACAGAGAGCATTACATGCGCAGCATGCTAGCTTCGGCACCTTCCTATGTTTAAAAAGGCATGTTTTTGATCTTATACTCAATGTTCTGCAGAGCAAAGAGTGCAGGTGAAAGTGTACTCTCACCTCGAGAGTTAATCCTACAAGTAGGAATACCAAGTTCAAAAAGAATTTTTAGGTTGTTTTAACTGATTTTCAGGTTCTAAAAATGGAAAACAAATGCCAAGTTTCTACATGGCTCACAAAGAATAAGTTTCTGATTAAATTTGGTCAAGTTTTCCACTACTTTAATAAACTATTTAATCACCTATTATGAGTAAATATTTACAAAATTCTGAAGCATTTCAGCAATATGTAGACTAGAAATATTATGCCAATTTACTTATTTCTGGAAATATGTATTCTGCTTTACAAATAACTTCTGACTCATTCTCTCAAAATATTACAGTTAGGAGTGAAAAATTATACCTATCAAAAGAATGAAGTATCTACCTTCGGTAATAACATCATATCATGAAAACATGAGTAGTTAAGCCAACATGATCTAGTTTCTCTAAATCAGGGAAAACAATTTAAAAAATTTTAAAAAAAACTCCCCCCCCCCCCGCCCCTTTCATCAGGAGTATGTAAACTATAATACATCCTTCCTATCTTCTTTTTAGCTCCTGACACTCAGCATATGGCAGTTTTACATTTCATTTTCAAGTTAACTACTTCAAAACACTTTGAAATCTGTGTCTTACGCATCAGGTACACAGAAATATTCATACTAGCTTCTGATGCTTAAAGTTTCATTGATGTTTTCTTAAAAGGCGTCAATGTAATAAATCTTCTTCGCATGTTGTGAACTACCCAGACCCAGAAACACTGTTCACACGAGCAAGATTCAGAAGCAGCTAATGCCTGAAACTAAAAACTAAATACAGGAGAAATTAACTTGTTTTCATATACACTGAAGCCAGAAAGTTGATAAGGGAAAACTAAACAGAGATATATCTGTTTACTGACCCCTAGAGCTTGGCAAGCTGAAAATCAGCAGATGAATAAGCAGAACACTGAGTATCTGAGCAAAATTCAAGTTACTTGTATCAGAGGAAGTATTCTCCCAACCAAAAAGGGAGGGGAAAAAAGAAAAAACCTCTTCCCGTATTAATGAGAAGCATGTTTCTTCACTCTCAGTATCAGCACCGAAAATGTCCTTATTCTAATGGTTCTTTAAGAGAAGGAATACTCTTCCAACTCCGTATCAAAGCAGACGTTAACAGATGCTCAAAAAAGGGATACCGTTTTTCCTGTTGTCCCTAAAAGAACCCCTATTATCCACAGGGCATATCTAAGCTGTTCTCCCATGCTTCACCATTAAGACTTTTTTTATCTTAATAAAATAGGTCATTGTTTTCTTGTCTCAGTTTAAAATGTGATTAAGACATGATAATTTAACAGAAAATAATCCTTAATCCTCCCTTTGACAGCTAAAGAAATTCTAAGAAAGTAACCATATCAATTCTGGTACTGAATCATTTCTACTATCAAATATTACCAATTAGTTAAGTCAATGATAAACATATTCAACTTGTATTTTCAGTAGCTAACCAACTTCACAAACAACATATATTTAAGAGTGAGTGAGTGAGTGAGTGAGTGTGTGTGTGTGTGTGTGTGAGAGAGAGAGAGAGAGAGAGAGAGAGACTGGGTAAATGGGAAGGGAAAGGACTGTACTATGTATAATATGTACTGTTGTTACATTACAGTAACATTTGTATTCCTCATCTACAAGATACACATGGCCCACTTCGAAATGAAGCGCTTTAACATTTTCCTCAATTAAAAGATAAATTAAGAAACTCAACAGTTGAAAGTCTAAGTGCTACAATAACTATCGGTCATTTCAGAACAGTTGATTTATTTTTAGTGTTTGCTCTGTAGTTCAGTACAAGATCTTATATAAACCCTAGGGTTTCTGACAAAGAGCAAGCATATCTATTAAAAAAAAAGAAAGTAAACTTTTTTCCAGTGACAACTTGCATCTGCAGTAGATTTATATATTTCATTTAAAAAATAAAAAATGAAATGTTTTGTAAACTCTTCTCCAGTTAAAAAATATTTTTAAATAGACTTTAAAAAATTTAAAAATGTAGGTTTACATTCAGAATAACTGGGCAAACAATGTAACCTACACATTTAGGTTCTTTGAGGCCACCGAGCTAATTTTATACCACCTTAATCTGGCCAATATGGAGATTCTCAATACATAAAACAAGTCATCAGAAAAAAAAAAACACACACAAAATAAACCAATCTTAGAGAAAAGCTGCACTATCTGCATGTTCTTTCTTAAAAATTAAACATTAAGTAAAATGAAATAATTGCAACAAAGTTTATATATCAGTTACCTGGGTTTAAGGCTTGAAACCCATCTAATTCCCTAGAATCTCAAGAATTTCAAATCCCTTTCAAAATGACCAGGTACTCTTACTCAACCTATCACACTAAGTACTGTACAGTACTACAATCTAATAGTTTCCCTTAAATTAAGATTTCTTTTAACAAATTATAAAAACTTTCAGTGCCTCATTTGTGCAAAGAGCCTTGAGATTCCCTTCTGATAGATCTGCAATATATTTAAGCATTATCCACTCAAAAGTCCTGCAATTCCTGAAGTCGCACAGTGGTAACTAAAGTATAACTCAATGGTTTTGAGCGGGGAGCAGTGTGAAAAGCAATAATTACACGTTTACAGTGTTCTGCAGAGGAGGCTAACAAGCACAAGGGAGTAAATACTTGCCCTGCCACTTTCCTCTCCGTCCAAGAAACAAACTCCACCCAGTTCCATTCTCAAAGGGAGGGGGTGAAAGCAATTGCTAGTGGGATTTCTTTGCCCCAAAACTGGAGTCGGGGGGAGGATGGGGGAAAAACAGCAGCCAGAGGCAGAGAAGGTGTCCAAACAATTACAGAAGGACATAGGATTTTACAATTTCAATTAACAAATTAAATTAGTGACAAAATGCCTTTGAGTTATTTTTACATATAACTATATACCCACATCAGAATTTTCAGTTGGATTTCAAAGAAAAAAATTCTATATAATTAGCTGTCGGGATACTTGAAGTTGTGCGTGAGGTACACAAAACAGCCATAAGAAGTACCAGCTATTTTTCCATTTTTCCTGCACAGAGCCCACAAATTCTGCTTAGTCCAATCTAGTACCATACGCAACACTGAAAACGGAAAGCAAATTTTACTGATGAATATGAAGTTACCATTCAATCTTTTTACATAAACTACTCGCACTAGACAAACTTTCAAGTGAAGAAAATAACCTTGGGAAGTCTCCCTTTTCCCACAATTTCTTTTATAGGTATCTGTTTCTTAATCCGTATCTGCAAATAATCAAGGAGTATGCTTAAGGTGAAATATTACTTTCCTTTTTCTTAGTTCTATGCATTTTATTAAAAGTAGTCTACCAAAATTGCTAGTTTAACATACAGCTCAATATGCTACATGAAGAAAATGTGTGACAAAACAAACTTTAAACTAATAGATTATCTCATTTTTACCTTGCCTCATCAGCATTAGCTGATGCTCGTGTCTAGCTGCTTCCATTTCTGCTTCTAGTTTCTCTTTGGCTTCTCTAATGTTCCTGTCAACCTGCTCACGCTGTTGCTTTTCCATTTCGTCAAGAGCCTTCCAGCGTGAAGCATACTCAAACTCAAATGTTCCAGGTTGAGCAAAAAAATTTCCCAGTTAAAATGTACAGAAGCATGCATTTGGATCAATAGCTGTAGCAGGCAAAGCATTTCTAAACAATCACTTCAAGTATAGTTCCGACTGCAAATCAAACTGTCAGATAACGTTCTGAACCAGCTGGTCAAAGCTTAATGTTAGATTTAGCCATTAAGACAACTGGCAGAGAAACTGCCCAAATAAAAACCCATTCAATATGCTTAAGACAGAAACTCATTTTTCATTGATACAAATACTTAAAAGCTGTGATACCAGACTAACTATATTCAGCCTTCTAGAGCAAATGATCAATTCATAAAGCAAATTGTTCAAACAAATAAAACTTAGACAATTCAAAATATTAGAACCTCTTAAAAAAAGTCAACATTTTATTTAACATTTCAACACTAACGTTCTAAACTAAGAACAAAGATTTTTAAAATTTGGTATTCCACAAGCATATCACAATAATCATTTTAGCTTCAAGTAACACGACTTTTAAATAGCAATCAAATTGTCACATTAAATATTTATTTTCTCTAATCAGATTAGGCGACCACCTCTTTCACTTCATGCTCAAAGCTCAGTTTCTCTTAACATACTCAACAAAATTGTATCTGAAGCCTGGAAGCTACAAAGACTTAGATCTCATTGACTTTACAAAAAATTAAGGGGCTAATCACAGGATAATAACCTGTGGGTATACAAATCTCTGCAGGATCAAACCATACTCTTAATCTACAAAAGGCGATGTTTACCCAACACCAAGCTCCAACTGATTTCAGTGGATGCCAAAAATCTAAATACTTTAGTAAATGTTAAACCAACAATACGAGTTTGAATTTTAATAATTCAATAATTTTGATTAGGAAATCTTGATAAGGTCCTATTTAGTCCTTGGACACAGGACAGCATAACATACAAAACACTGTGTCTGCTTCTATCACACAGACTCAAAATAGCGTATATTTACTAAACCAGCCAAGTAATATAAATCATGTTTTATGAAATAAAGCTAAACCAAACTTACTTGTGATATTGTTGTGTTTTCTGCATTAGCTTCTCTGGGAGCCCATCTTCATCATCAAATTGCTCCATTGGTTCTACAACAACAGGTCGAGGCGTTCTGGAAGATAATTTCAATTGAATAACTGATTCATAAATGGAACAGTTTACAAAGTTACCTTAGTCTTCCCAGTAAGTACTCCAGAAAAGTAACAATATATGGCATTTACAATTCCCGAGTCTTACCATTCCTTCTTAAATCGTAACATTCCTACAAATCTGATGCTAAAAATTAGCTTCAGAAATGATCGCGTTTCACATTCAGGACGAGCTACTTTGCCTAGAAAACATCGTTTTCTTCCACGATATAATTCTACCTGCTGTTATAAGTATAATCTGCTGACATTTAAATAACATACAAACAAAATCTCAAAACCTTCTACAAATAATTACAAAATATTTAGGAAGGAACTATCTTTTTACTTTCATTACTGAGGCAATGCCATTTGGGGCCTCAATGAGACTGGGCAGCACCAAACAAACCCAAAACAGACCAACACCTACTCTGTTCATATTTACATGGAAAAGGGACAGTGACTTTTGAAAATTATTCTACAAATAAAAACAATCTGATAATTTGGCATTAATTTTCTGGTCATCAGAAAATCATTTCTGCTTAGGTTATTTTAACCCATTCTGCAAACTACCATACTCTCACAAATCCGTATCCTAATTCATCTTCAGAAAAAGAGAACTGAAGGAAGGTGTTTTTGAAGTAATCAGAGGGGCAAGTACTGACCAAAAGCTTAATTACAGCATTCCACACCTTTATATCACCTTGCAGATCTTTTCCACAGGAAGAAAGGCCATCAATAGAGGCCCTCAAAACATTTTAATAATGTGGACAGCTGAGAAAGAAACCTTTGGGCATCAAAGAAGATTAAAAAAATGAAGTCCGGAATCACAGATCACAACTTAGCAATTACTGCTCCTAAAACGATCTGTATGACAAGTGCTAATAGTTCTGGCGTTTAAACACAACTAAACTGGAGAATTAGTATGTTTGCGATTAAAAAAAACAATTACCTCTCCAAATTAATGCTTCAAATGCCTGGGTTTGATAGGAAAAAGTCTTTTAATATGTGAATCAAATCTATTTAGGTAAAGGGATTTAATCTAAAAATGTAAAATCTTAGGCTCTGAAGCAAACTATCAAAGAAAATATCATGGTAGCAAAATCGCACCAATTATGCCTGCAACTGTTCATTAAGGAACGTGTCAGCCTCCTAAGCAAGACTACAATCAACTGCCTTTTGTTCACTTGGGCCATGGTTAGATAGTCACTTCAATCCAACAAATCTATGCAGCTGATAAAACAAGAAAACCCTCCTCCCTAACATCCTAGCTTCTTTTTCCCCTGCCACATCCCTCAGGCCAAGAATAGCACTCATGTAACACTGTAGTGTTCACTGAACTAGATCAGTTACCTGGTTTGGCTCACCATGCTGCCACTCAAACACTAAGGCCAAGAAAACTCAGCGGATAAGAGCAAATTGTTGGTACCTTTTGACAGTAGCAGAGACTTACTCAGATTAAATTTACTATGTAGCTACCCATCCAGATAATGCAGTTCAGTGACAGACCAGACTTAAAAGCTCGTTAGCATCAGAAAGAGGAGTTCCTCTCCGCACCTGCAATCTCCTCCGGGGAAAAATTTCTCCTGGTTTATCTTCTCCTCTGCCTGATATTTGGAATGCCTGTGTTAGCAAGCACTTTCACTTGCCAGAATAGCCAGAATATGAAACCAACAAGAACAGCTGAATAGTTTTCTGCTGTTTTAGTAAGCTCAGGTGGTTTACAGAAGTATCTAATACAGTTTTCAAGGGGGAAAAATATCAACAGCATAGTCATGGCAGGAAGGGAAGGAGAACTGAGACTTCCCCAATACGATGGCAGCAAGCATTCAGATCATCTTCAATGCTGTGGGACCACATCCTTGTTTTCCCAAGTGAGGAAAAAAACCATAAAAATGAAATATATTCTTGCACATCTATCATTTCACACAGTCTTTAAGAAAGCATTTGAAAATGTCACTAGCGAATACATGAAAGTACAGCTGTTAACACTGACAACTGTCTTCAGCAATTACAGAAATGAGATATAGATAAATGCTGTAACTCACAAGCTGGCTTGGCCTAGAAATATAGAGTTTTCCAAAGATCTCTGCCATCAACTTCTGCAGAATCTTAGCCTTCATTTCCAAATATATACGTGTGTGCATATATATAATATAAATATTATATATATTTATATATATATTTAATATATGTATATGTTTGCATATATATACAGATAGATAAAATGTCCTTCACTGCCCTTAGCAATTGTCCGCTGTAAGTGGCAGTTTGCACTGGCATTTTTTTCCTGCCAACCATGATGTGCTTTGAGTTTGGATTTGAGTGACAAGCTGTGAGACAGTCGGCATAGGGAAATTTTAATCTCTGTGCTACAGCTCTAATTAGATCTTTCTCTTGACCTGATTGCCTAACAGCAAACCTCTTACATAGGCTTGCCTCGTAAACGCGTTTGTAGTGATATAATGGGCAGACGCACTTGGCACGCATCACCTTTCCAGTGAGATGGTCAGCCGTCGCTGCAGAACATAATTGAGCTGCAGGAATAAGCAGCACATAAGGGGTTTGAATTTCTCTGTATTCCTAAACAGAGGGAAAAACAGTAGCTGTATTTGTCCGTGAACAAGGCTGCCTAATCTAGCAAAACCATGAATGGGATATTTACTTAATATTCATTTTTGGCACGGAAAATGTCATTTCCCTCAATGCGTTGCAGAACAACATTGATCTCCCCCCCTCGCCCCCTTCCTGAGGTCCTCCTTGCAGGGCCTGGAGCCTGCTTCTCAGACAGATTGATTGGTCTGTCCCGTTGTCAAATCAAGCTCTAGTCAAGGTTGCTTTATTGACTTAACTGTAATGCAAGTATTGCCAGATCTAATACACGGGAATTAAATGGCAATTATCCCTTTATTTGAGCTGGCTTCTTCCTCCTTCTGTGTTTTAGCTCTCTTTCGGCTCGCAGTCTGCTTTGCTAATTGAATGCTACTCCATCTGATGATGCCAGCTGTAGCAAGGCCAGGGAGCCCTATGCAGAGGTCCCGGGATAGCTCCTGACCCCAGCCCTGGGGAGAGCCTCGCTGGAGGCAGCTTTCTGTGAAGGACCCTTTCCAGTGTCTCTCTGCCCACCTTCGCAGCATAGACTTCCCAACTCATTCAGGCTTAGCTCTCGCGCGTTCTGCCCTGCCTTCTGCAGTGTGGACGTTCCTTCCTTGCCCTATCCCAGGTTGGCTGCTATCTTCAAACCAAGGGCCTTTCCTAAGTCAGGTGAAGAGAAGGCACATAAGGACACTAGCTAAGCAAGGGGCAATTAAGCTTCTCAGGACTTTTTCAGTACCCTCATGGCCTTCCATGGATCTTACAGTGCTTTTGCTTTTTCTTGTCACCCCATCAGATAAGCTAAAGTCTTCAGCCAAAATGGATCATTTCCTTCAAGTCACTTGGTTTGCAGACCTCCAAGGGAGCGTTTTGAGGCGGGTGTGCCCAATGGCCTGCAGGGCTATGAAATCAGGAGCCCTGGGTCCTAAAGTCCTGTTAAGTACAAGCAGAGCAGGGATGGCAGCAAGATGAAAATGTCCTCACGTGCCATGACCTCATCACTCTGTGCTGGGATGGACCGTGTAAAGGAGGGGAAGCATTGCTGTGCCAGATAACTTCTGGCCCATTAAAAGAACCAGCAGTTGGGATACATACGAGATATATGGGATGAAGCATGGGATGGAGCCTGTTTCTGTTATACCAGCTTGCCTGGACTTGATGTAGGTGACTTCTGACCTGGGTTCAGTGGGCAACAAGGGGCTGGAGAGCTTTCTGATCTTGTTGTGGGTCCTGGAGCTCACTGACTCCTGAGGGCTGTTTTCTAGCAATACCTAAATGCACATGAGGAAGGTAAGACTGTATCTCCTTTGTGCATGCAGTAAAACATATATCTTCCTTGCTACTGCTTTTTTTTAATAAACTATTTTCCAGTCAGTGTCTTACCACCATTTAATCATTTCAACTGCGAGTGCTTTTTGCTTTAGCCGTTGCTGGCATTTGTCACAATTTAGATGAGAGGTGCTGGCTGTTTCACGAATAGTCTGCTCGCGGGGTCCTACCCCTACTGTTAACGTCTTGAGCTTTAGTATCAGTGGGAGAAAAAGGGAGTTTTATTGTAGCTGTAACAGTCTGCAGGGTGGCATCTAACCGTGTGCCACCGCAGGAGCATCCCACAGGTGCATCACTTCTGCACAGCCCAGATGTCCCCTTTTTGTCTTTTTGGGGCATCACTTGGAAAATCGGCTCAGCAGAGCGTCTTCATATGGAGGCCACGTCCTGAAAACTCAATTCAAAGATTACCAGGGTATGGGCACTGCAGCTGGCATTACGCTGGGGACATGGAGCAGGTCCTGGAGCACTTCTCCCAGGCTGTAGGAAGAGGGATCGCAGCGATTCCTGACGTTGCTGGGTGGCGAAGCGTGCAACACTGAGATTTGGGAGGAATTTCATCATCGCTGTGCAGAATATCGCTCATAACGGCACGATGGGAGCTCGATGTTTGAAAAGAAATCAGGTTGTACCTTTCCTCATGCCTTGGCTTATAGTGCGACGCTCAAGGTCTGAACTTTAATCCTGTGTGCAAAATGCTACCTGTAGCAGCCAGATGATTCTTGCTTATGGCTGTTGAGCTTGAGCCTTAAGCTGCCAACACCTACGTGTGGACGGACTGATTAAAATAGAGCTCTGATTGAATTAATGAACTTAAAAAAAGCATCAGAGGGGAGAGTGTTCAGGTCCCCGTGCAATGATAGACTTTGTTTTTAAAACAAACTGCAAACAGGTTAAGAAATGCAAGCTTCCCGTTGCTCATTTGGGGCACAAGAATTTTAACTTTCATTTTCCGAGATGTTCGTTTTTTCTTTTAAGTATGTTTTAAGACAATAGCACAGAAATCCCCAGACATAATCCCAGCTCATTTAGACAGAACACACTTTTAATGGTGCACTCCTGCTGAAAGATGCTCCTTTTTAACATGTTCCACCTGCTCAGCCTTTTTTCAGAGGCAGAAGTTTCCTGCAACTTTTGAAATTCTGCTCTTTAGCCATTTTGTGATCTTGGGTGAAGACTTGTCTAGTTTCACATTAGCGGTAAGCCATGTTATATTTTGTCTGGCATTTCCTTCAGCTCACAGATTCATGGGTGTTAAAGCTAGAAAGGATCATGAGATCATTTTGGCCGTCTTTCTGGAGTAATTGCATGCTTACAGCGTATTGCAGTTGCATTTGGTGCATATTCATCTTCTCACTTTGGGAATTTGGATTTATCTGCGAGAAGCGTGAGGGCTGCCCCATCCTATCTGCATAGAGGGAGACTAGGACCTGAAGATGTTTAGGGATTCGGCCGAGATCACGCAGTGAATTTGTGGAATATCTCAGGTAAATCACTGTTGTGGATTTCTGAATTTAATGCCAGGGTATTCTGCTACAATGTGGCTGCTTTTGGGTCCGGAGCACAGCGGCTATTTAACAGCCCTGCCGTTGCCAACCTCTTCCTTTTTGTCCTCTGCTGCTTTTATCTGTATCACAAGCGAAGCGGTGCCTGACGACGGAGCCGTAACGAGGGCAGAGAGGCAAAGCACCCGACCTGGTGCCCCATGCAAGATGGTCTTGCAAACGAGGCCCTGCCTTTTTTTTTTTCCATCTGTATTTGAAATTCATTTGTTCCGCCTTGATTAACCGCGCTGCTGTTGGACGTTGTGGAGCGGAGCAGCCCTCCGAAGGCAGCGGGATCCAGCAGCGCCTCCGCGTGCCGCCTCTGCCCACTCCCTGTTGGGGTTTGGTAGAGCAGGATTTTCTGGTAGTGTGCGCCATGCCTCTGCAGCGAGCTGCCTGCAGCTTGGATGGCTGTCCCAGCCCACGCTGGGCTGTGTGCTATGTTTTTAAGCAAAACTCAACCTATATCAATCTATCCCAGATTTGTTTGCACAGGTTGCATAGCTTCAACTGCGATGGAAACAGCTCCAGAGTGTTTAAAGAGACTCGGCTTAGCATATAATTTTATATGAATCTTTGTCTGGTCTTTGATTCAACAAGGTGGCAGAGAGATGTGTGCATGTGTGCACATGTGTGCATGCATTTTTTCTTCTCTGTCTATGTAATACTTAGTACAGCGGGACTTGGGCCTGGCAGACACACCGATAAAAGCAATCATCACAGAATCACGGAAGGGTTGAGGTTGGAAGGGACCTCTGGAGATCATCTAGTTATACTTCCAGTTGATGCGCAGTGGCATCATTAAAGAGGCTTTCCTCTTGAATATGCATGCTTTTCCCCCAAGACGTGTGCCCAGTGCCTTTTTGAGAAAGCTGAATTTCAAAGATATCATGGTCCTTACAAAAATGCTTCTCTCTTGGTGCGGTCTCATTATAGAAGACACGTGCACGTGCATGCACGCGGGCAGCTGCAATTTCAGATCACGTCGTTGATTCATCTAAACTAAGTGATGTTAACTGCTTGGGCTGCTGGTTAAAAAGAACTAACAGAGAAATACTGATTGACCTCAGCAGAGCTTGAGGTTTTTTCAAGCCATCTGAACGGTGGGATCAGTGCTGTCCTGGAAGCGGGAGAGGAACACGAGTCAACTGGGAAAAAACTTCCAAACTCTGATTTCTGCCTATTTTGGGGGAAGTTACCAGGTGATGAACTTCACAAAGGGCTCCTGATTCACACCCTTTTGCCTGGTTGAGCAGCAATGTATCCGGCTACAGCTGGGTTTCCACCACACGGTGGCCTGGCCCCTCCGTTCAGTGCAATGGAAGGATAGGAGTCAGCATGCGATGACAAAATAAGGAGTCCATGACACTAATCTTTGGGTCTTCCTCCCGCTTTCTTCCAAGGAAGAGCATGAACGGCTTGTTGAGAAAGGATGGACCAGAGCTTTCTGCAGCTGGGTGCGAGTGACACGCTGCAGGGGTGACGGGGATGGAGGTGCTCAGCAGGGCCACCTGGGCTTCAGCCTGCCCCAACGGAGGAGGGTGTCCTGCCCCAGGAAGGCGGTGGCATGTCTCCCAGCCTCCCGGCGAGGCCTCTGGGGAGGACCTTGGCAAGCGGTGGGTGGATAAAGCGCTCACGAGGAGGATGGGGCAGTGATGGTGAGGAGGAGGAGGAGGGGAGAATAAAAATGGAAGAAGCCATCTCAGCATCCTCTAACGGCCATCCAGAGATCGGTCAGGGATTTGGCAGTGGTCCTTCTTCTGCTACAACATTGTATTTTGTTATTGTCATTCTGAAGTAGCCAAAAACTCAGCCGTTGCTGATGATGCACTGCTAACGTGTTTAGATTTCTTATTAACAACAGCATACCCAAAAGCCAGTGGTGGCACATGTGCAAAAAATAAGGATATTAATCCACTCATAGCTTTTGATACAGGGTTTGCACAGGGAAAGGTTTATTTGACCTCAGTTTCAGCAACATGCCACAGAAAGCGCGTCAGGGAATGATTGCAGCACTTTGCAAAGACGTTTAAAGAGAGGCTACAGGATAAAAAGCAAAATGGCAGCGCAGTGGCCCCTACTTCTGTATTTGGCACCGTCCCTATATTCAGAAATAAATTCCCAAAAGTCAAAGTGATGCAGGTATAAGGGAGGTGCAAGTTCAGAACGGCTTTCCTGCGTTCAGTAGCACAACAGAAATGACTGCTGCAGCCCTGAAACTCATTTTTGTGATTCCCTAAGATTTTCAAAGGGACAAAAGGATTAGGTCCTATGAAGGTTGACGTCTCCAGAAATTTTGCCCTAGGTTCTCGGAACCAAAACATTCCAAGGTGTATTTTGTTTTTCATTGCTTTGCTATTTCTTGCACTTCTGTCAGCAGTGATTCTGATATTCAGTGGGGCTATGTAAATAGTTGATTTTTATTTACTTTCTAATTTTTCCCCCAATGACTGATGTATATGTATTGAATATATCCCAAAAAGAGAAAAAAGGGGGAGTTGCACTGATTGAAGTATTTTGGATAACTTAAACCATTTTATCTAGCTTTCTTGTTCTTCTTGGAGGAGGCATTAAATTTGGACAAATTTTTACATTGCAGAATATTTTGAACCGAAAAATGTCAAAATGTTTCGCTTTGAAAACTTGAAATGGAAAGCTTGGACTATTGTAAAGGAAGGAGGGAAAACATTACAGCTGAAACCAGCCTACTGAGTTTGGCATTTGTATCTGTTGACCTAAAACGGGGTGCTTTCGCTAATAAACCAGCTGTCTAAAAAATTTCATTCAGCCTTTTCTTCATCAGTTTCCTATCACTTCCGCTTTCTCATACTTATCAGTATCTCAGTGCCATAGTTTTTTTTTGTTTTTTTTTTAGGAAAATACTTCAAATCATGCCTCAGTTTTATTTTGGAAGAAAGGGAGAAAGTCTGTCTTCAAGTACATAATGGAGTCTTTTCGATAAAGACGAAGATCAAAATCTGGTCTACAGACATTTAATGAGTCATGCTGAGAATGATGAAGTGAGCAAAGTTCTGCTGAATTAAACAGCAAAAAGGCCAGTTTGTGTCTTGTAATCAAATGGATAGTCTTGTTTTTAAGAGGATGCAAAGGGCAAGAAAATCATCTCTAATAAACTTGTAACACCCGTGCAATCCTTTTTGGTTTTCTGGCTTTTTTTATTTGTTTGTTTTGTTTTGTTTTGTTTTTTGAGAGCAGAGGTATAAAATCCATTGTCCAACTCACATTAGGCACTGAGGAACTAGATTTCTTCCATAGCTTCACATCAACTTCTAATGAACTTCTCTCCCTACCTTTTTTTTTAGTGGGGGGGAGGTTGTCTTGTTCTGCATGCTTTAGAGGTTGTCTTGCAGATGAACAGATCTATAAGGTTACACCTGAGATTGCCTTTCAAGCAGCAGGGTATTTACTTTTTTTCCTACTAAACAACTAGTAGTAAGGTGATGTTTGCCTCAGTCTACTGCTGTCTCTGTCCCTGAGGCAGGACTGTTGACGAGTATGTGTGTGTGTGTGTGTGTGTGTGTGTGTATCAGGAAAAAAAGCAATGTAATTCTGTAATATTTGCTCAGATTGACCATCTAACTGACTTACACTTGATCTCTGGTATCGAACAGTACTCCAGGGTGAAAAGACCACTGCTTGCTAATAACTTTCTTAGGGTCAGAGAACTCAAAATCTGGTCAATATGAATCCCGGTGGCAGACAGCTGTGCCTCTATCTTTTGTAATAGTCTTTCTTTTCCAGCGAATAATTACTCCCAGCCGTAGATATGTAAGAAGAAATAGGACATTTTATGGCCATTGCTACAACTTCTGTTGACCACATGCAGGTCCCGTAAGCTGAGGGGGACCAGGTCAGGACACAACTTCCATGAGAAACATCCAATGAGACTTCCCAGAGAGGTGATCGTGACCATGCTGTTTCCCCTTCCTCTCTGAATGACAAAATGTCTCTCTGGGTTTTATGATTTCTTCCAGAAGAGCTGGTCCCAAGGGGCAAATA